GTTAATTAACACCCCCGTATCTTCCCCGAGTTAGAAACTGTGTTCACTGTTTAGTCTTCTCTCCCTTCAACGTTTGCTCATTCATCAAATCCCGCCCACTTGATCTCAGAAATGTCTTTGGAATCTGGCCATTCCTTTCATTTCCACTGTTATAATCTGGGCCTTTATCTCTTACTTGGACCATGATAGTTATTCTCCCAGATTCCAGTCTTTCATCCTCATTGCTAACAGAATTACTTTCCTATAAAACACATCTGATCATGTTCCTTTCCTGTTTAAGTACTGCTTTTAGTTCTCTCTTTTTTTCCTACAGATTTAAGTCCAAATTCCTTAGCTTGGCTCAGTCTTTCAGAGATCAGCCTGACCTCAGCTGTCATTGTTATTTTTCACCCTTCCCTCTCGCAAACCTTATGTTCTGAACTCACTCGGTTGTGCATTGTTGCCCCAACAAAAATGTCAAACCCTTTGTTGATTGCGTATATTTACTATTCGCCTTTGCCTGGCCAATTCGTTTAAGAGTCAAGTCTCCTCGCTTGAGCATTTCTTGCTTTGCCCAGTGCATAATTATTCATATACTCCCTCACTGTCCTCATGATACTTTGCTCATATTTCTTTTAAAGGCATTCACTATATAATACATCAATTTATGTAACAACAGCTAACATTTTATGAGCCCTTATTCTGTGCCATGTACTTTGCTAAGTGCAGTTGATATCTTATCTCGTTTAACCTCACAATAGCCCTGGTACTGTTGTGAGGTACTGTTAAGAGTCCTGTTTTACAGATGAGGAAGGCTGAGAGATGTTAAGCAACTCACTGGTTTCACACAGTTGGTATATCGCGTCAGAATTAGAACCCATCTCTGACCTGTCTTGGGAAAAACTTTTGCTGTTAACCATTATGCTCCACTGATTGTCATTGTAAGGTCTAGCACTGTGTCTTCATTTAGTCCATAAATATTTATTGAGGGCTTACTATGTATTAATCAGTGTTGTAGGAAATCGAGGATATATAGTAGTGAGCAAAAGAGACAAAAATATCTTTTGTGAAGCTTAAATTTTAGTGGTGGGAGACAGAGAAACAAAATACATAGTTTTGTGATTATTAGAAAGTGGTAAGTTTCATAGATGAAAATAAAGCAGATAAAGTGAGGTAACAGGGAATAAATAAGGTGGGTGAGCAAAGCTTCACCCAGAGGTGGTCATTTGAGCAGAATCTGAAAGAAGTGAGGGGGTGATCATGTGGCTGTCTTGCATTCCAGGTAGAGGGAATGGCAAATGAGCTCTGGTGTGTTCCAGAAACAGCATTGTTGGGGGGATGGGGGAATGGGTGAAATAGGTGATGGGGATAAAGGAGTGCACTTGTTGTGATGAGCACCGAGTGATGTATGGAACTGTTGAATTATTGTACACCTGAAACTAATATAACACGGTATGTTAACTAACTGGAATTAAAATAAAAACTTAAAAAGCCAAAAAAACCCAAAAAAAACCATCAAGAGCATTGAGGCCTGAGTAGCCAGAGCTAGTGAGCGAGGGGGGGAAGTTGGTAGAAAATGAAGTCACAGGGATGCCTGGGTGGCTCAGTTGGTTGAGCAGCTGACTTCAGCTCAGGTCATGATCTCGAGCTTGGTGAGTTCGAGCCCCGCATCGCACTCTGTGCTGACAGCTCAGAGCCTGGAGTCTGCTTTGGATTCTGTGTCTCCCTCTCTCTCTGCCCCTCCCCAGCTCACATTCTGTCTCTCTATCTCTCTCAAAAATAGACATTAAAAAATGTATTTTTTAATTAAAAGAAAAGAAAAAATGAAGTCACAAGAGGTGTGGAGGGGCAGTCGATTTGCAAGCCAATGCAAAGACTGTGCCTTTTACTCTGAAAAAGATGGAAGCCAGTGAAGGGTCTTTGAACAGAGAATATGACATAATCTGATATATTGTAAAAGGTTCCTTGTGGCTTTTAAATACTGAGACTAGATTATAAGAAGGTAAGAAGTGTCTTATTTTGTTATCTCAGATAATTAACACAGTTATCTGGTATATAGTCAATGTAATAAATATCAAAAGGCTTACAAGTTTTCACAGCAGTTCAGCTTTAAAATGACATTTTTAGATAACCAGGATATTTGAATATGGATTAGACATTAGATGATACGAATGATATTTTTTAGGTGTGATAATGGCATGGTAGTTATATTTAAAAGAGCGCTTATTAGTTGGAAATACATAAAGCCCATGAGCATTTACTGGTAACAACAGTGTTTAGGTCTTGCTTTAAGTGTTCCAGCAAAAATAAACAAAACTTAAAAGTGGGAGAGTGCTAAAACAACATGAGTAAGATACTGATAATCATTAAAGCAGGTGATGTATGTATGGGTTTGTTATACCATTTATTACATTATTCTGTTTCAGTGTATGTTTGAAATGGCCATAATAAAGTTTTATATATGTTTATATGGAGATATAAATATATGGTGATTTAGAGGATCTAAATCTCTCTCTAGGTGTAGACATCTATAGAGATATATACATATAGATAAAATACATTTTACTTGGTGATTCTACCATTAATAATTCTACCTTTAAAAACCTATCAGAAAGAAATCACCAGATAGGGGTACGTGGCTGACTTAGTCGGTAGAACATATGACTCTTGATCTGGGGGTTGTGAGTTCAAGCCCCACATTAGGTGTAGAGATTACTTAAAAATAAAATCTTTGGGAAAAAATGCTAAATTATTACTAGTAGTCATCTCTAGGTGGTAGGATTTTAGGTCATTTTTATTTGATTCCTTATACTTCTCTGTATTTCTAAAATTTTCTTTAGTAAATAGGCCTGCTTTTATTAAAACAAATAACAGAAGATGCTGTTAAAGTCTCAGGTTTAGACCTTTTGACCATAATACCTTTTGTATTAAGATAAATAATAAAATCGGGGTAAAGGTTTATGTTCCAGGATGTTCACTGAATTGCCATTTATGCTAGCAAAAAGTCGGAGATGTCTAAATGACCAACAAGTCGGAGCGTGATTAAATTATGGCACATGCATATGCAGCTAGTAAATGTTTTCAGAGAGTGAAATACCTAGGATGCTCGTGGTATAATAAAAAGACAGTGAATCTTGTGCACAGTGATTTCAGTGAATGTTTTTTTACAACGGAAAGATGAAGGCAATCAAAATGTTAGCAGATTGTTTTAATTTTAGTTTCTCTACTTCCCGTGCTTTCTCAGCAGTCTCTATTGGGCATGTATTTACAGTCAGAGAATTTATTTAAGTCATTTGGAAAGACATAAAGAATATAAGGAGAAGAAACGGGACATTTGAGGAGAAAAATAAGATCTGGAATCACTGCTAGAGGAATTCTGCCGAGAAGTTCCTGAAATGGAAGTGATTCTTAAGCAGAATGCTGAATTTTATGCAAGAGGGCAGGCCCGTTGGGTGTTCTGTATCCGAGGCGCGCTCACTAGGCTGGCAGCACAGTTCAAGGGCGCGGCTGGAGTCCTGCAGGAGTGGGAGTGCCTGGCGGAAGGTCAGGGCACGGGTTGCGGCTGCTCTGCCTGCACAGAGGATAGGAGGAGGTTTTTATTATACACCGTAAAGTTCTAGACACACAGTAGCAGTAGTTTTTATCTGTTCTCATGGCCACCGTCCTAATTTAAGCCCTCATTGTGTTAGGTACACTTTACCGACGGCCCTTCCTGCCTCCGCTCTTTCTCCATGCTGTTACCTTCTTGCCCAGCTTCCTCTTTCTGAAGCGCCAGTCACCTCGTGTGATTTTTTTTTTCTTTTCAGAAACCTGTGCTGGCTCTCCCCATCGCCTTAGAATGTTTGCACTTTTAAGCCGCAAATCCGAGGCTCTTTACAGTCTGTTCCCAGAGTACCCGTCCGCTCTAATCCCACGCTGTGTCTGCACACACTCTTCCTCCGTCCCCGTCATCCCGCCCCCTTCCGTAAATACGCACAGCTTATCGCTAAGAGCCCCATGTTTTGGCTCAGGCTACATTCTCTACAACATTTGAGGGGCGATCTCTGAACTTATAGTTGTATTTCTGCTTTGGTTCTGCTGTTTACAGGTGGCTGTGTATCCTCTAATATGTTATCCTGACCTCTCTGAGCCTCAGGTTTTTTTCTTAATTTCTTCATCTTCATAATGTTAATATACCTCCTTGACAGAGTCATTAGGATTCATTCAGGTAATGAATACAAAAGCATATTGTAAACTAAATGCGTGGCACACATGTATGGCATTATTTTCTACCTACCTCTGTCAGGATGCTTTTGACTTCAAATAACAGAAATCCAACTGAAAATGGCTTAAACAATGAGGAAGCAAGTCTGGAGGTAAGGCGGTTCCAGGGTTGGTTAATTGCACAGCTCAGTAATGTCGTCAGGGTTCTACCATCCTCCTGCTTTGCTCTTGGTCTGCCTTTCTTGGGTCTGTTCCCCTCATGGTGGTAAGATGGCAACTACAGTCTCAGGTGTCACACGGACAGCAGTGTTCAGAGGCAGGAGCCCCTTTAGTGTGGCCCTTTTTAAGAGTGAGGACATCTTTGTAGAAACGTCCCCCTATCTTCCCCCTCACTCCCCTCAGTAAACTTGGCCTCCTGCCTAATTGACAAAAATGGTAGCACGTGCCCATGCCCAAACCAGTCTTCACTGGGAAAGGGAATGAGCTCATCGTGATTAGCTCAGACCAAGCATGATTCACACCCTGGGGCTGGCTCCCACCTCTCCTGAGGGAACAGATGCTCAGAAAAGGACAAGGCAGGGGCTCTGTTAGGGAGGGAAAGATGGTGACAGCACAGTGTCTTCAGGGACAATCCTGTTTCATTAGGACACGGAGGCGAATAAGCGATCAGTAGGAGGTTCATCGTAAAGGGGAGTTTGTTTTCGGTAGATCGAGATTTCAGTCAGGCAGCATACAGAATGCCGAGAGAACGGATGGGGTGGGACGAGTGCGAAGCCTTTGTTTCTCCACTTTTAACATTTGTCTTTGTGTCTAAATAGGTGTGCGGTGGAGCCGACGAAGACCCTGATGATAAAAATGCACCATTTCGGCAGCGGCCGTTTTGCAAATACAAAGGACACACTGCTGATCTCCTTGATCTTTCATGGTCCAAAGTAAGAAATTCTTAGTCGAAGTGTGTATGAATTCTATGTAACTATGACTTTAGGATAAAAACAAAGGTTTTATCTGTACGATTGTCACACTGTCGAGTGATTGTATTTACTTCCTGGAAGTTATCGATTAAAAAAGAAAAAGAAAGAGAAAGAAAGAAACATCACATTAGGCAAATAAGAAAATGTTTATATTAACAGTTTCTGTCTGGATCTGTCTACATACTTGTACTTTTTGCTTCTTTTACAAAGTAATTTTGCAAAGTATTCTCTGCAAAATGGATACGACTTCCGACTTTCGCTGCAAAGGTGAAGTCCGATTTATCTAATCAGGACTGCTTTGGCTAATCTGCTATATTTGTTAAATCATTAAGTTTGCAAATATATGAATCTTTGATAAGGCATCGTTTTATGTTTTCTTTTTTCCTTAGAGCAAAATTATTTCAGAAGTAGAGGGCCTATTTTGCCACAGAACAAATATCTGAGCAGTTTTGCAAAAATTTAAAGATACTTCAAATTTTATTGAACATGTTTAAAGCATGAAACAGTGTTTTGAATTTTTGCGTAATACCTTACCCTTCCTTCGTATTAAAATTTGTCAGTAATCAGGACCTAAAATATATTTAGAATGGGGGGGGGGAGTAATATTGAAAAGCCTTAAACTGAGAAAAGTCAACGGAGTAAACGGAATACTATTAGAGATACCAGTGTTGCCCATATATTTTCACTGTGTCAGGAGAACCTCACGTACCACAAAGTTACTGCTGGTTTCCTCAGGCGAGTCAGGCTTTCTCAGAGCTCCAGCTTTGAATCACTCCATTTCTGAATTGCTACTCCTGCCATGCTTGTTTACATGTTCTGGATGCTTTTCAAAAACCATCTGTCATAATGTCTTTCTCTAACTCGGAAGAAGCTTAGACCTCACCTGGTAGTCTGATTTTAAACTGAGCCCTGATTGTGTCTTTATACTCCTCCCCAACCCTTTGTGAAATCTGAGTTGTCAGAGATGGAAATCTAAAGTGTCCTTAATCTGATAATCATATTCATCTGGGATAAGAAGTACAAAGCACATAATTGGGAACCTTGCACTCCTTTTATTTTCTTAAAGCAACCCAATATTTTGTATGGGGTGTAGTGCTGACTGGAAGAAATTGGATCTCCATTGACCACTTATCCGTCAGGGTTCTCCAGAGTCACACACCCAAGAGAACATATATGCATAAGGAGATTTATTTTAGGGAATTGGATCGCTCAGTTGTGGATGTAGCCAAGTTGAAATCTGTAGGGCAGTCTGGCAGGCTAGAAATTCAGCAGGAGTCACTCTGGGATCATAAGGCAGAATTTCTTCTCCAGGAAACTTTTTTGTTCTTAAGGCCTTCATCTGTCTGTCTGGATGTTCTTCTCTTTAACTTTCTTTTTTACCTGTTTACTCATGCACATTTCTAGGTATTATTTACAACAGGATTGTAAGACATTCCAGAGTAGGGACCAGATTTTATTTTACTGTTGTTTCTCTTCAGGATCTAGCGTAATCAGTATTTATAGTGGGTTTTCTACGTGTTGAAGACTTACTTTGTCCCAGGTAATGAGAATTACCTTGTTAATTCTTACAGTAACCTGTGAGGTAGATGGTATTTCATTTTGCTTAAAAAATTTTTTTTTCACGTTTATTTTTGAGAGAGAGAGAGAGAGACAGAGTGTGAGTGAGGGAGGGGCAGAAAGAGGGAGACACAGAATCCGAAGCAGGCTCCAAGCTCTGAGCTATCAGCACAGAGCCCGACGCAGGGCTCGAACTCACGGACTGTGAGATCATGACCTGAGCTGAAGTCAGACGCTTAACTGACTGAGCCACCCAGGTGCCCCTATGGTACTTCATTTTGTAGTTGAGGCTGGGTCTCTGACCTATCTGACACCACAAAACTAGTTATAGGTAGAACTTAGGTTTGAATCTAATTTCTTTGACTTCTGAAGATCATGAAATTCAAGAAAATTATTTAATTTCACTTATTTAGTAAGTATTTACTGAACAGAACTTGGCATAGTGAAACACATCTTAGCATGTCTCTAGTGTCTTCACTTTTAGGGATGTTTTCATATTTCTTTCATATGCTTAAAGCAATGGACTATTGCAAGAATCGAATAAAATCAACTTAATGAGCAAACCATAGATTTAGGGAATTTTTTTTTTAATATTTCATTTATTCTTGAGAGAGAGAGAGAGCACAAGCAGGGGAGGGGCACAATCTGAAGCAGGCTCCAGGCTCCGAGCTGTCAGCACAGAGCCCGACGCAGGGCTCAAACCCAAGAACCGTGAGATCATGACCAAGCCAAAGTCGGACACTTTACCGACTGAGCCACCCAGGTGCCCCAGGGCTTTTTTTTAAAGTTTATTTATTTATTTTGAGAGAGAGAGAGAACATGCACGAACAGCAGAGGGGCAGAGAGAGAGGGAGAGAGAGAATCCTAAGCAGGCTCTGCACTGTCAGCATGGAGCTTGATGCGGGACTCGAACTTTTAAGAACCAGGAGATCATGACCTGAACCAAAATAGTCAGACGCTTACCCAACTGGCACCCCTCAAAGTTCAGTTTTTTAATTGTACGTTTCATGATCTATTTAAAAACAGGCATACCACACAAAGTGTACACTTTTAAAACTAGCCCCAAATAGCATTTATTTATCATTGCAGTACCTATCTAAATCAGTATTTGCACTTAGTCTTCTTACATTCAGAGATTAAAGATTGCTTATTACTTTTAGTAGATGACAAAGCATCTTGTGGCTTTTTGTTTAAACATGTGTTCTACTTAAGCACTCTGCAGAAGAGTGTAGTGGTTAGAGTCTGGACCTAAGGGCAGACTACGTAGGTTTAAATCTCAGTTTTGCCACCAATGAGCTATGTAGTCTTCAACAAATTATTTAGCATCTGTGCCTCAGTGTTCTCATTTGTAAAAGGGGATAATCATATACCTACCTCATAATATAGTGTTAAGAACAGTCTTTAGCACATTGCAAGTATTCAATAAATGTCATCATTACTTTGGTTTGTTTAGCACCTTTAGGCATACCAAAGAATAGTGTCTCATTTGGGCTTCCTCGTTCAGTATAACTCATAGTTCTCTCCTTAAATAGATTATGTTGAAAAGTTAAAGAATTTCTGCCAGCTGAAGCATTTGATAGATAAATGTTTGGTTCCTGGGTGATGGGGCCATCACAATGCCTAAAGCAGTTACACTACCCTCTTTTACCTTTGAAAATTCTATGATCTATTCTGAGACGTTTGACGATTTCTCTTCTCTCATTTTCTTGCCTGTGGTGTGACAGGTGCACAGTAATTTTTCATTTGCATGCTGCATTATAGGGTAATCTTTTTGAAGGCATTTTAAGTGACAATTAGGGAATTCTGGGGAGTTAAAATTCGCCAGCGTCGCCAATGTCAGGGTAACTGAACTGAAGTGACAATCAAATGAATAGATGCCTTGTATTCATAGCTAAGTTTCCGTATATGCGGACTATAATAAGTAAGATACACCTTAGTCCTCTCTTAGTGCCTAGCAGGTTTTTTTTTACCTAGATCATAAGATTCTAATTTCAGAACAGGTAATACAGAAAAGTCTTAGAATCGAAAGAATACGGTATTTAACTGGGAAAAAATGGGATCTTCCAAATGAAATGGGTAATCTTTTTGTTCTTTCTGATGCTAGATATAGCAATAACAAAACTATTGAGATACATAAAACCAAAAGCTTGCTTTTATTAGTGTGTACGTGGTATTTTTTCATAGGGTGATAAAATGATCAATGTCAATTTCTCAACAGAACTACTTCCTGCTTTCTTCTTCGATGGATAAAACAGTCAGGTTATGGCACATTTCCAGAAGAGAATGCCTTTGCTGTTTTCAACATATAGATTTTGTCACTGCCATAGCTTTCCATCCAAGAGTAAGTAATTGTTTATGTATTTTTTTGTTGTTGTTGTACTATAAGGAAGGTGAGGGAACCTGGCTTCTCTGGAGGACAGTTGGACTACAGGAAAAAAAAAAATTATTAACAGCCGCATAGTTAAGGACAACTTAATTTAGTGTTTCATTTTGTTTAGAAAGGAAATATTTTGTTAATCTGTATTAGAAGAACTGGAAGTGTTATGGTCCAACTATAAGAATGAAAAGTCATCCCAAATCTTTAATAAGACATGCAGGGCATAAATAAAGAACTAAAGTATCCTATTAAAGGTGAGAGAGATTAGAGACGGAGGAAGAAGAGGAGACAGCAGGTGAATAAATAAGAGGGAAGCATATAGGCAAGAATAGTGGGAGGGGTAGGGTGGGAAGAGACAAAGAGGAAAAGGTTGAAAGAGGCAAAGACCAAAATTCATTATAAGATATACTGAATTCCTGTGTAATGTCTGGAAATACAGTGTGTGTGTGTTTGCAGGAGGGGTTTGTGTGTTTTTTTGTTTTGTTTTTTATTTTTTTAGTAAGCTCTACGCCCAATGTGGGGCTTGAACTCACCACCCTGAGATCAAGAGTCACATTACTCTACCGACTGAGCCAGCCAGGCTCCCTGGAAATATTGTTAATCTTTTTCTTAATTAATTTATTTTTAAATTTCTTTTTTTAACATTTATTTATTTTTGAGAGACAGAGCAGGAGCAGGGGAGGGGCAGAGAGAGAGGGAGACACAGACACTGAAGCAGGCTCCAGGCTCTGAGCCATCAGCACAGAGCCCAGTGTGGGGCTTGGACTCACAAACCATGAGACCGTGACCTGAGCCGAAGTCGGACGCTCAACCGACTGAGCCACCCAGGCGCCCCTGGAAATACTATTAATCTTGAGATCCATCCTTATTCATTTTCAGTGTAGAAAATCCCTATCTTTCCTCTGAAAAGGAAGTATTTCATACGATTTCAACCAAAGGAGGAAAATTCATCATGGAATTGCTGACCTATCTTATGTTTTTGTAGGATAGAGCCACCAAATGAGTAAGGCTTTAATTACGTTTTGCTCTTTGCAACTAGAAGCACAAGAGGAGTCCTGTGTGGTGTCAGTCCACTAGCTAGATCGAACGAAATGGAGGCCTTGAGCTGACCTGACTTGCCCTCCCCTACGTGGATGTGTGAATCAACATTTCTATTCGCGTCCTCATCTCTGTATGTTTAACACCCGTTGTCATTTTAATGCAACGTTTCGGTTATATTCACATTTCTTCCCCTTTTTTCCCAGATTAGGAGAGGACTTTTTTTCTTCCTCAGTATAATTTCCCTCCCTGGGCAGGTTTATGATATGAAGACAGTAATAATTTTGAACCCTCAGAAGACTTTGGTTAAGACCTTTGGCAAATTAAAAATATTGCATCTGTGTTGATACCTTATCCGTTTTGACCATCAAGCTTTTTGAGGCTTCTTTCAGAATAACACCCCCATCCTGTCATCCAAGGGTGCAACAAAAGAATGGCTTTATTCCTGTCCACAACTGTGAGCAAAATCCTTCCCTCACCTCTATTTTAACTATAATGTGTCAGGATGGAAAGAGAGAGGTATTGGGTGATGATGGTTATCTATGTAGTACTTTTTATTAAGGTTCCTCTCTAGCCAGTAGTTTTTCTATTCTTTTATTGGGTTTCTATTTTGGAAACTAAAAAGCCCTAATTCTAAAAATCTACAGATCTGAAGGATTTTTAAGAGGGCCTAGGGAAGGATGGTGTGGTGTTGACATTTTCTTAGGAAATGTGACTCTCTTATGTAATGTTACCTGGAAGGAGGGTAGCAGAATTACAAAAGAAATAGTAAAATGAAGATAACACATGCACACACATGTACACACACACATGTACACACACACACACACACACACACACACACACACACACATATGCATGTATGTAAATAAAATTCTGAATTATAAGACCAAGATGAAGTATTTTTACTTGTTCTGCTCTTCTACTGGTAGACATTGAGCAGAGCCTACTCTACCATAGCCATAAAGGTGTCCAATCTGCGTAGATTGTTCTTGACAGGCCCTGGGGTGGGTAAGAATAATAGCCTTGAGCAGAGAAGGGAATGTTTCTTGTTTTGGCATCCCAATTATTTTACTCTTAATTCTTATGTTATCAAAAATTAGACCAGTTTAGTTTAGTGGTAGGCCTGGTTTAGTTTAGAGCAGGGTTTCTCACCCTCGGCACTGTTGACATTCTGGGCTGGATAATTCTTTGTTGTAGACGGAAGAAAGTCCTATGCATCGCAGAATGTTTAACCTCTACCCAGTAGATGCCAGTAGCCCCCCACCCCCAAGACATTGCTTGTTGTCCCCTGTGGAGCCAAAGTGCCCCCTGTTGAGAACCCCTGCTTTGAGACTGAGAATTTGAATAGTGAAGTGATTTCCTACTGACACCCTGTCAAAGTTCCCACATAAATAACTGGTTCTGTGGGCTAACCGGCATTACTCTTCTATCCAAGTATTTACATGTATCCCAGAGGGAGGAGGAGGATGTGAACAAACGTATCATTACAGGATAGTTTTTACCCAGGCCTGCTCCTTGAAGTTCCTACCTGACTCCCTCCCAACCACCACCCCCCACCAGGAAAGTCCCTGGTTAAATAAATTGGAGAACACTACATACTTTATCCCTCCTTTGGAGACTGAGAACGCGTGTTAACTGAGAATCCTCTTTAACTTTCTGGAACCCAGAATGTCTCAAACTTACTTGAACCATTCTCCTACACAATATACACTCTAAACACATTATCCATTAACATCCATACCTTGGGAAAAGCAGTTTGAGGATACGATAAAGCAATTAGGAAGTCCTATTTCCAAAGCGAATACTGAAGTTTCTAATTGTTTTTTTTTTTTTTTTAATTTTTTAATGTCTATTCATTTTGACAGAGAGAGTGAGACAGAGTGTGAGCAGGGGAACGGCAGAGAGAGAGGGAGACACAGAATCCGAAGCAGGCTCCAGGCTCTGAGCTGGCAGCACAGAGCCCGATGTGGGGCTCCAACTCACGAACCGCGAGATCATGACCCGAGCTGAAGTTGGACGCTTAACCAACTGAGCCACCCAGGCGCCCCTCTAATTGTTATTCTTAGTGAATAAAATAATGTTTGCTTGAGGGCTCCTGGCTGTCTCAGTCGGTGGACTGTATGACTTTTTTTTTTTTTTTT